AATTTGCTTTTTATTTTTGCTTAGTTGTTTGTTTTTTCCCCAAGGAAAGCGAGCCCGCCGCCCCCGTCCCCGCCTGCCACTAGAGGTCATTTCAGCACCGGGATAGGGACCGGCGACTGCGGCGGCTCCTGGCCCGGCCAGGGACACCTCCCACTGTCCCCAGCCCTGGCCAGCCCGGCCTGGGACACTGCAGGGATCCAGGGACAGCCCCAGCTGCTCTGGGCACCTGTGCCAGGGCCTGCCCACCCTCACAGGGAAGGATTCTTTCCTAACACCTAATCTAAGAGTTCAGAGCAATTTCCCCTTATCCTATAAAATGTTCCTGTTCAGCTCTCTGGGAGTCCCTCTAGGCACAGAAAGGGGCTCTGAGGTCTCCCCACAGCATTCTCTTCTCCAGGATGAACAAACTTACGGCTAAAATAAAAGCTCTGGTGCCTGTTTTGGGTGGTTGTTTCTGCTCAGAAGGGCAGGAAATGTCTCCTGCTGACAGTCATGTCCAGCAGCAAACTCAGTAGTGGTTGATGCCCTGCACAGCCCCAGGGGCCTGGCTCGAGTGGCCCCAGAGACTCCCGGGCACGGAGCAGCCGGGGCTGTGCTGCAGTGTCCGAGCCCTCTGCAGCCAGCAAACACCGCTGGGCACCTGGCAGCACCCGTGTGTCCATCCCCAGAGTGCTGCTCATCCCTTCTGCCCCAGCTCCTTGCCTCCAGCCTTCCCTGCTTCCCAAATCTCCGTCCCCTGTGCGGCCCCTTGTCTGCATCCATCCACTCACACACATCAAAGCAGCCCTAGCTTCCCTCCTCGTTCTTAACTTCTCAACACATTTTAAACCAGAATTAATTAGAGGGATCAAAGGCCCTTGTGGCTGTCCCCTGGAGCCCTCCCTCCCCAGCCTGGCCGTGCTGGCTGCACACCGCAGCTATCACCGGCTGCAGATGCCGAGGATCAGGAGAGGGAGAGCCAAACCCCAGCACTGCTCCTCTGCAGCTCCCTGCACGGCTGCACTAATCGCTCCGGGGACGCTGCTGAGTTTGTGGAATTGGCTGGTGATGGGACCATGGTTGACTTTATCCCTGGATCCTGTCTGTCTTTGAGTCATCTTCGCTGTGAGTCACAGCAGCTGCTAATCCCTTGGAGATAACGGCCTCATCCCGCTCTCTCCACGCAGGTACTGCTGCCTCTGCTCCTCAGAACGGGATAAATCCGTGTGAGCCGAGCCTGTGCTGGGAGCACTCCAGGACACACTTGTGGGGTGGCTTGTCATGCCAGCTCTGTGTCACCTTGGGAGCCAGCCTCAGCAGAGCCAGGGCTCTCCGTCGTGGGGGCTCCTGCCTTCCCAGAACCATTTACCCCGTGTTCCTCCTCTCCTCCAAGGCCTGAGCATCTCCTCCCTTCCCCAGCACAGCTCTGCAGCCCCAGGAGGAGGAACAACAGGACCCTCCTGTGCCTGCCACACCTCCCTCAGCGAGGGTGAGCTGAAATCCAGCACCGTTCGTGTCCTTCATTCTAAACCCTTCTATGCATCTGTCAGCAAATTGTTCCCAGGTTAATTTCTCCCTTTGTTAAAATGTGTTTTATCCCAGCTTAAATCTCTCTCAGTTACACAACTGCTTGTGCCATCCATCACCAGAAACTTCCCACATGGCAATTGGAGACCACAACTGAGTGATCTTTAACCCCCTTGACTCATGTCTTTAATCTTTCACCCCATGGCAGATTTCCAGCCCTCACAGCTCCTGCCAGGACTCTGCAGCTTCTCAGCCTTGCTGGGAGCAGAGACACCAGCACTGCCCCCAGGATGTTACTGGTCTGACTGGTGCTGTGCAGAGAGAACTTCCTCTCTGAGAACTGCTTTGGTATTTCCCTGTGGGGAGTAGCCAGGACCAACATGAGCCCCACACTGGGCTGGTGTGTGCTGGTACCTACCCCCTACCTCGAGCCTGTCCAGTGCTCCCCTTTGCCCTTGTTCTTTCCTGGCCATGCCCTCACACTCTGCTGCGCCCACTGCCATCTCAGCCTGCAAGGCAGGACCCAAAGTGGGTCTGAGGGGCATCAACCCCCAGAAAACCCTCTTTGATTCCCATTTTTTAATTTCCTTTTGGTACCTGCAGTGATTGGTGAAAGCAGCATCCCTTTTCCTAGCCTCACCCGAGCCCCAGAAGCAGGAGGAAAGGCCCCATCCCCTCCTGCAATGAAGCACAGGTGAGCGTTGGGGGCTCCCTGCCCTGATCCTGCCCACCCACAGTCCCACAGAGCCCACCCTGGCAGTGAGCTCAGCACCCAGAAATGCTGCTCTGCTTTTCCACCCACCCGCAGGCTGGGACGCCCTGCTGCGCTGGCCTCACCCGTGTCATCAGGGATGATGTTCTCCTCCTCTCTTGTTCTCCCTAACCCAGGGAGCAGAAGCCATATTTGTGTGCAGAGTCTGAGAGCAATTAAATTGAATTCTAATTATTGTATATCGCAAATTAGCAATTTCTACCATGCTAATATTAATTGCTAACACGACGATAAGGCATATCAGGCAGTCAGGATGGAGCAGGTGTCTGCTCACTTGGAGAGATGTGTGAAAGCAGAAATCGCTGCAGACATGGATATCCCACAGCAGGGAGATGTTCCTGGGCTGGGGACACTGAGGTTTGGGCTCAGCCTTGCCAGGGCTGGAGCTGAGAGCAGGCTGGAACTGCCAGTGCTCAGCTTGGCTTGCTCAGGAAGGACCAAGGGTGCCTGAACCACAGCGCAGGGTGGTGCAGATGTGCCTGCTCCCTCCTCCCCAACTCAGGGAGTTTGGCTGCACCTCGTTGCATTGGTGGAAAATTCAATACAGAAGCCAATGACCGGTTGGTTCTCGAGAGACAGCTCCCTAATCCCTGCCTAGAGCTGCTCTCCTGGTAGCCCTGGGGTGCTCCTCCTCTGGAGAGAGGCAGGTGGCAAGAAGGGCATGGGGTAGGAGACCCAGTGCCATCATGTTTAGCACATTCCATGAAGCTGCTGTAGTGACTTTCACCTCTGCCAGGCTGGAATCACAGCTAAAGGCACACTGGGACTGCAGGGATGGGCACCGGTGTCTGTGGGGATGGACGAGGACATCCAGCTCCAGCTGAGCCCTGGGACTGACGTGCTGCTTTGGCAGGAGCTGCTCTGAGCTTGTCACAGACGCTGTGCTGGCTGTCCTCCCCCGTCACAGCCAACATGTACAACATCCTCGCATCACACGGGGAAATCCGAGGAGATCAGAGCCCAGGCAGCTGGACACGCCGCCGTGGATAAACACTTCCCTTGAGAGAGTTAATCAAGGGTACAACAACCCTGCAGCTGCAGAGTGACCCTGTCACAGCCTGGAGTGGGCACCAAGCTGGTGATTTGCAAGGAAACCCATCCCGAGGAGGCTGCTGCAGGTCCTTCAGTGCCCCTGGGAGGGGCTGGGCTTGTGGGGGCTTCCGGGAGGGAAGCCAGGAGCGCAGGGATGTCCCTGACAGCTGGAGCGCAGCTGGGATAAATCCTCAGCACGTTTCTGTGCTGGGAGGGAGCAGTGAGCCTGGAGGCAGATGGAGAGTGCTGGGCACACGAGCAGAGCTGGGTGAGGCTCAGCAGGCAGAGGAAGAGCAGCGAGCATCCCCCAGGACTGGCTTTCCCCATCTCTCATCCCCCAGGACTGGCTTTTCCCATCTCTCATCCCCCAGGACTGGCTTTTCCCATCTCTCATCCCCCAGGACTGGCCTCTGCTCACCTGCAACTCCAGTGATTTCACAGCAATGAGGTAATTTTGTCCCAAGGGTCATTTATCTGTCTGCTGAAAAACCCCAGCCCTGTATGAGTCACCAGGCTGCACTACAGCCCTGTGATGAATTACACTTGGACACATGCTAAATGACATTTACCAATAAATTTATGCAGATTTCTCCTGTAATCCTTCTCCTCATCAAAAGTAGTAATGCTTTCTCTGATGCAAATGCACTGCGAGAGCCTCACCACATCAAACGGGAGCTGGGCTGAGTAGCTCGGAATTCAGAACGATAATCTTCATTGTGCTCATGAATAACCATTTCCTACAGATGAATATTCAACAAAGCCTTGGCAGCTCCTGCCAGAGCCTCCTCTGAGGCCCGTCCTGCTGCCCGTGGTGTCCAGCAGCTCTGGCCAGCCCTGCAGGCAGATTTCACACTCCTGTCCCCCTGTGCTTCGGGCTCCACTGAGGAGCTTGGACTGGGAGCAGAGGCTTGGAGCTTTGTGGGTGCTGTGCTGAGCTCTCCTCTCCATCCAGACCTTTCCATCCCACAGCCACAACCTCCCCTGGCATCCTCAGCCCGGCCTGTGGGCTCCATGTGGTCACACCATGAGAGACCTCCTTGAGACCAGGAGGGTCCAGCACCCGGCTCACCTTTGGCATTCACCAGCACTTCACTGGCCACAGGGCGCCCCTGGATCCCTGGAAGTGTCCCAGGCCAGGCTGGACGGAGCTTGGAGCACCCTGGGCTGGTGGAAGGTGTCCCTGCCCCTGGCAGGAGGTGGAATGAGATGAGCTTTAAGGTTCCTTCCCACCCAAATCAGTCTGGGATTCTCTGATTCTTTCTCTGAACATGGCAGCGTCTGCTCCTTCAGCTCCCAGCCCAGTCGTGTGCTCCTTGCTGTGTTACAAGGAAAGGCTCCAGCCCCAGCTGCTTCTCTGGAGAGGGCAGGAGAAGGCAGGTGGAAAGGTCAGGACACCAGGACAGGTCTGCTAAATCCCCAGCACTTCCCCGTAACACCCCAGGCTGGGCACACAAGGCATCACCGAACAGCCCTGGGGTGCTGCAGGGGGGATGCTGAACATGCAGAGCCTTCAGCAGCCTCTGAGCAATGGGGTTTACATTTTTATTCCTTTTAAAGATGATTACATTCTGAGCAGTGATGATCCAAGCTAACGAAACGCCTGCCACACTTCACGGCTTGGCAGGAAAAGTTGGATTGCTGGAGTTGTGGGCTTTTCCTTCAGTCCAAAACACAGACAAAATGGAAATAAATGATTTCTTTCACAGTTGTTTAATAGAATTTTCTCTGTTCTGGGGTTTATGCCCTGGCATCCTGGCAGTCTCAGTTAACCAGGGCAGCTCCAGCACTCCAGAGAGTTCCCAGCCACCTGGAGCAGCAGTGAGGAATGGGAGCAGAGCCAGGAGAGGCTGAGGCTGCTGAAGGGGCTGGCGGGGAGAGGGGCAGCAGTGCAGGGCACCAGCTCTAGCTCAGCTGGAAAAGCTGCCCCAAAGGCTTCTTTTGGAGCCCAACAGCAGCGGCTGCAGGGTTTCCATGATCCGGGAGGTTAAAAGGCACTTGAGCCCTGAGGTGAGAGCCTCTGGGACACACTCTGAGAGTGATTTATGGCTTCTCCACTCACCCAGAGCCAGCTCGATGCTTCTTCTATTTATTTTTCTTGTTATCACTGTGAAATAAATATAAAGAGGATGTAAATTCAGATTCTCAACCCAAACTCTGCTGCTGCAGGACCAGCAAAGGGGGAGTTTGGGGTTGTGATTGTACAACTGCCAAACCCTGTCCTGTGCCAGCCTCACCTGTGCCACTGCTGCTTCACTGAGATTCCTGAGGGTTCAGGCTATGAAATCCTGCCCTCGGTATAAACATTTTAATTACAAGTTTCCGGGACTTCTTTCCTAAGATAAACACATTTTAATTGCAAATTGCTTCTGCTGTCTTTGCCCACCCCCCAACGCTGCCAGCAGCTGCTGGATTTAATATTTAACTGAGCTGCTCTGGGCTGGGCTGGATGCAGCAGCGGGGCTGGGGAGCCCCTGGAGCACCCCGAGAGTGCCTGAGTGGGGCACGGGGAACGCCTGGGGTGCAGGAGAGGGACAGCTCCTCGTCCCTGCAGAGCCACCGCAGCTGGGGTGACCCTGGCACAAGCTCCTGGTGCTTGGAGCACGGCTGCTGTGCCTCGTGTCCCTGCCAAAAGGGACAGAGTCACCTGTGCTGGGCGTACGGGGGGCTCCGGGCGGTTTCTGGCCTTGGTCCCCACGGCAGAGGGTCCGGCTGTGCCATCAGCTCCGTGTCCCCCGTGCCACCTCTGCCTGTCCCCAGAGCCACCCAGCCACGAGGAAATGCCATTACTGCTCATGTGGCACCTCAGGTGACAGAGCCCTGCGGCTCTGAGGCTTCTCTGGGGGCTCCCTGGCCCAGCCAGAGCTGGGGGAACCCCCCCAGTGCTGCCATGGGGGGGCCACACCCGGACAGCTGCCACCCCCCAGCCCGAGTGACACTGCACGTGCTGCCCTTCCCAGGCACGGCTGGCACCTGGCTGGCACCTGGCTGTCACCTGGGCTGTCACCTGGGCTGTCACCTGCTCTGTCACCTGGGCTGTCACCTCAACTGTCACCTGCTCTGTCACCTGGGCTGTCACCTCAACTGTCACCTGGCTGTCACCTGGCTGTCACCTGGCTGTCACCTGGGCTGTCACCTGGCTGTCACCTCGACTGTCACCTGCTCTGTCACCTGCTCTGTCACCTGGGCTCCTGGGGAACCAGCTCTGCCCGTGCTGTGGGGTCTGGCTCCCGCACAGGGACGCGATCAGCCCCACACAGACCCCCGGAGTGTTTGAAACCCACCCTGCACCACCAGAATCTCACACAGGAAACCAACTGGGAGCTCCCACTGCTCTGCCTTTTATTCCTCCACTTTTTTTCCCCTTTTTCTTCCTTCAAATCTTCCTTTGAAACCCAAACTTCCTGCAGTTTGAAATGGACAATCAGGCTGCCCCGGCAGCTGCAGCCCAAGAGCTTCAGCTCTTGGCAGGAGGATCAGAACTACAAAACTATTTCTTTGAGGCAAATTATGCATTCATCCAGCTCATTTGAAACAAAATATGATTTGCAATTTAACTTTCCATAATGAGCTCCTGCTATTATACCGTTTCCATAATGGCTGGTTTCATTGGAACAGATTGTTGGTGCACATGGTTTACAAAACATTTTCAATGCAAGCCCCGTTTTTTCTTATTTTAAATAGCAACAGCTGCTAAGCATGATAATTATTGTATTTCATCAAAATAAACTTACCGAGTTGCTTCTTGATGCCACTCGTCACAATTTTCCAGCGGACCTGCAGGTTATTGAAGAAACTGAAACTTTAATTCAGCAAAGTGAGAGCAGCACCCCATCCAACTTCCTGCCACGGACAGGGACATCTTCCAGACACCTTCCACAATCCCAGGCTGCTCCAAGCCTGGCCTCGGACACTGCAGCTTCTCTGGGCACCCTGCGCCAGGGCCTCAGCCCCCCAAGGAAGAGCTTTAACCTCAACATGCTCTCTGGGAGTGTGAAGCCATCCCTCCTTGTGCTGTCACCACGTGCTCTGGTGAACAGTCTGTCTCCATCTTTTGGCTATGAAACACCAGGAGCAGGCAATGAGAAGCTGTGGTAATTCATTCCTAATTGCATTTACCTGCATCACTGTTTCCCGTGGTGTTCCCAGGACAGCTGCCAGGGCTCTGGAGCGGCCCCAGAGCTGCAGCCACAGGCACAGAGCTCCCATCCCCAAACACCCCCAGCTCCTGCTGACCTTCTCCAACACCAGTGCTGAAGGAGGATTTCCTCTTCCTTTCCTCCCTCCTGGAGGGAGGATAATGGCAGAGGGAGAGGAGTTTATCAGTAAGGAGCAGGGGAAAGTCTTATTTGTTGAAAATTTTCTGGGGAACTTTTGAGAGCTGTGTTTAGTGGCTGCGGTCGGCCGGAGATTTACGGATGTGCAGGATAATGATGCTGGAGAAGCTATTCCAGCCCCCAGTGAAAGGCTGCCCTTTACAGCACCTCAGCGTTTGGATTTAGATGACAGGTAGTAATGGCACCACAGAAACCATTACTGTCCATCAAGTAAATAATCAACACACCATGTAAACGCTTCGGCCTTACCCAGACTCTCATGAGCTATGGCAAAGAGTGAAAATCCCCCAAAAAATCAAAGCCTGAAAGGACAAAGGATGATTTTGAGGAAGGAACAGCCCGCAGGAATAGGGACTAGGGAGCTTCCCTCGCAGCAAACAGCAGAGAGGGCAGCGATTTGTCCTGATGTGGATGTGGAATTAGGGAAAAGCGGCGCAAGGCGAAGCTGTGCGCTGCAGCCGGGACCCAGCTGCCATTTCCCCTCGGCGGCTCGGTGCCAGCAGCAGCTCCCGCAGGCTGACAGCGCTTCCCCGCCGGGTTTGTCATCACAGCACCAACACAGCGATTAAACCTCTCCCCTGGGAGGCGAACGGGAGCGGCAGCCCCGGGACCGGCACAGCGAGAGCCCAGCCGGGACTGGGAGCCGACTCCAGCTGCCCCGGGCAGAGAGAGAGAGAGAGGGAGAGAGAGAGAGATCTGTGTGTCGCCAGCATCAGCATCAGCATCAGCACCAGCACCGGCACCGGCACCAGTACCAGTACCAGTACCAGCACCAGTACCAGCACCGGCACCAATACCAGTACCAGCATCAGCATCAGCATCAGCACCAGCACCAGCACCAGCACCAGCACCGGCACCGGCACCAGTACCAACACCAGTACCAGTACCAGTACCAACACCAGTACCAACACCAACACCAGTACCAGTACCAGTACCAACGCCAGTACCAACACCAGTACCAGTACCAGCATCAGTACCAGTACCAACACCAGTACCAGTACCAGTACCAACACCAGTACCAACACCAACACCAGTACCAGTACCAGTACCAGTACCAGCATCAGTACCAGCACCAGCACCAGCATCAGCATCAGCACCAGTAGGAGCACAAGTACCAGCATCAGCACCAATACCAGTACCTGCATCAGTACCAACACCAGTACCAGTACCAACACCAGTACCAACACCAGTACCAGCACCAGTACCAACACCAGTACCAGTACCAACACCAGTACCAGCACCAGTACCAACACCAGTACCAGTACCAACACCAGTACCAACACCAACACCAGTACCAGTACCAGTACCAACGCCAGTACCAACACCAGTACCAGTACCAGCAGCAGCAGCAGCAGCAGCAGCAGC